GAAAAGATGGAAAATGAGAATAATTTTCTCTTCCTTGGATTCACATTCAACACCCTTGGCACCAGCAGTCAAGAAATCAAAAGAGAAAAGTCTGATGAAGGAAGTCTCTAAAGCAAAAGTATTGATGCCTTTTGAGTTGTGGTGTTGGACAAGAGTACTGAGTATCTCATGAACTGCAAAAAGTACATATGTCTTGAAGAAAGTGAAATCAGATTGCTGCTTAGAGGCAAAGATAGCAAAGTTTCATCTCATCTACTTTAGGCATTTGGTTAGGAGGGGATATTCCCTGGAAAGGGACATCATGCTTGGAAAGGTAGAGGGTCAGTGAAAGAGAAGACCCTCAATGATAGAGATTGACACAATGACTGCTGCAGTAGGCTCAAGTATGTTAGAGATGATGAGATAGCACAGGATAGGACAGGGTTCAGATAGCTCAGGGTTCAGATAGGACAGCTGTTCGTAGCATGGCGAGGAGGCATATTCAACTCGATAGCACTTAATAAGAACAAGCCATCAGAGCTCCCTGAAGACCACTTACAAGAACTTGATAGAGTAACATGTAAAAGACGCAAATATTTGTTGTATTTTTTCTACTTTGTGCAATTGATTCACTGCATATGGACATCAGGTTGATGGAGCATACAAGGATTAAAGTCTGGTTAAGCAAGGTACTGAATCTAGGAGAGGGCCTTTTTCTGATTTGCACAAAGGTACTATATGAACTAGAGGTGGCACCTGAGATTGAATTCAAGGATTGGTTTTGCCCCCATTTTCTGCAAAATCTTTATGACTTAATAATTTTTCCCACTGTTCATCATTCTCAAAATAAAATAGGTAAGCTAACAATGTGCGGATAGTAATAAACTGAATTTGCAAAGGCAAAAGCGCATATATATGGCTTGTTACACTGTAATGCAGAAGAGAAGACTGAAGACAACTATATTATCTTACCAAAATGCTGAACTCAACCTCACTAATGAATAATTTCTTCCAACTCTTTTCCTCAAAGATTAAATTCTGAAAATAATCACTCGACTAGAAAGAGAGAGTTGTTTTACCAGTGGATGAATCTACTAGATTCCCTTATTGTCAGTTGAATGGCACACCAGAGCAGCGGTAAAGAGATGTATAATTATTTTTAGGTTTTAAGCAAAAATCATCAGGAGCTTCCACAGCATGGCAACAGCTTTGCAGATGCCTACATTGTTATGGTTGATGTAACAGAGACCAGCAGAGGTTAAGGCGGAGCGTGCCCACCTTGGCGGCTTTCTGCGATGCATCCCTGTGGACATAGTAACAATTTGTCCAAGGCCCTTGTGACTATGAAGAGTAGGGGCTGCAGCCAATGAGTAGTCCATCGCTGAACAAGGATTCAAAAAAGCAGCTGGGAGCAGGCCCAGGAGTAAAACAGTGACAACTCTCTCACCAGTCTAGTGGAGAGCAGCAAGCAGCCTTGGAACCAGGATGGTGGCTCAGGAACAAGTGAATGTTCTGTACTCCTGGAGGTGACTGGCCCTGGAGGAATGCTGAGACAGGGGCAGGTCTGACTACTGGGGTTCAGAGGGATAGAGGGTGGGCTCCTTGGGTACTGCAGACACTCAGCCTCAAGTTCTAATCAATTGGTTACACAGAATAACACCAGTTATTCAATAATCTCTTCAAATATTGACTTGTAATGCTGAATATATTCTATAAAATATTCATAGCTTCTTGCTTTGAGGAACCAAGGACTCTATTAAGGCTAAGTTTGTCATATTAAAAAAAAAAAATTGTACTAAGACTTCATTAAACCAAACAAAACCTAAGCCACTCTGTCACTTCTAAGTGGAACTGTAGGGCGGAGAAGAATTGTCCAAAATGATACAGACGGTCTCATAGGTCTATGAAACAGTTGCTGGGTTCGAACCACCAACCTTTTAGTTAGCAGCCAAATTCTTTGAAGACTTTGCTCAGAAACTCATTGTCCTTGAGTTAGTTCTGAATCACAGTAGCACTCTACTGAGTTTCAGAGGCTGTCAATCTTTGTAGGGAAAAAATTGCCCAAATACCTCCCATGAATTTGAACTACATACATACATAGCAGCCCAACACAAACCACCAGGGCCATAACTTCATTTGATAGTTTTCTTGTTTGTTGTTTGCTATCAAGTCAGAACTAACCCATAGCTAACTCTTTAGCGGGTTTTCAGAGACTGTAAATTGCATGGGAGGAGACTGGCCATCATCTCCTGCAGAGCAGCTAGCAGTTTCGAACTTTGTCACTTGATAGCAAATAGTCTGGAAGAAAATTTTGGCAAATTAGGAAAAATTAGTGTAGTTAGAGGAGAAATTCCTCATTTTAAGACATAACAGAAAAGCAGCACTTCCTTGTTGTTTCTACTTATAGATTATCAATGAGCTATCATACTGATCTTCTGAAAGGTATCTTGAAGTAATCACACAACCAAAATCATATTGCTATTTTGTTGTTAGGTGCCTTCAAGACCCATTGCGACTCTAAGAATAACAGACTTGAACCCTGGACATGATGCTCGGAAAGGCAGAGGGTCAGTAAAGAAGACGACCCCTGACCAGGCAGACTGGCACACTGACTGCTACAATGGGCTCTAGTGAGTGTGTCAGGAAGTGTGAGGATAGCACAGGACAGAACAGGGTTCAGAGCTGATCCTATTGCTATAAGAAAATCCTTTCGTTCTGTTCTCTAGTTTGTATTAGACACTTGGACTTGGTGAGACGACTTTTTATAACTGCCACAGGAGGATGAAGGCCAAGAGTGTGGGAAGCTGAATATCAAATTTAATATTAATAATAAACCAAATGCTCTATCAGGATATGAGGGAGGCATAATACAAGCTGGAGTTCACCCTGCGGCACTAAGTCATTCCTTAAGAGTTTCTTAGTTTGTATTTACTGAATCCCTCCCTCCTGGGATAAGCATAAGGTAAACAATAGAGAACTTGGCCTTATTTACAAAAGACTTCCCCATGATCTTTTGTTTTTGTTTTCTACTCCCTTGTGATTTTCCTTTGTTTACCTTCCTGATGATTCTCAATAAATACACAGAGAGAGGCATGGCTTGAGGAGCTTCAGTCATCAGAACTGCTGGTGTCCCCCTCCTCCTCTTTACACTGTTTTATCTCATTCCTGGTTGTCTGTCTCATTATTAATAATTATAAAAATACTTTACCCTCAGTTTGCAACATAAGAGTAATATTAGAGGAGACGAGGATGGACACACACACACACACACTCTCTCTCTCTCTCCTCTGTGAATGGTGAAGCTTATATTCCATGGTCTGCTTTCAAATAAAAGCAAAAATCCTCTTTTCAGCTGCATGTTGTTATGCCTTATACCCCAACCCCATTTTGTTATATTATTCCTGCTCTGAGTCATTTTTCTAAGACAAACAAATACAGAAAGTGAATGGGAAAACATCTTTGTTGTGGTTTGATGCCTAAGCAAAGGAAAAACCTAAGACACCACATGTTCTAAGAGGCAGATGAGACAATGAGCTGGGGTGAAGGTGGGGTGATTGGAGGGAAAGATGGTAAAAGAATGACACATTCTTTATTAAAGCAGCTTCCTCAAGGTTTCCCCTTTTCCCTTGCTGAGCAAGCTCTCCCAAAGAAAGCTTTATCCATGTAGGAGTGGTTTGTCAGCCTTGCTATCAAGAGCAGGAAGCTGAAGAATTCATGGGATAACTGAATCTAAATTTACTGTCCATTCTCAAAGTCAAAGAGGTAGGCTGAGAACTGAGGTTGAGTAGAGAGGAAGGTGGGCTTAATTATATAGAGGATTCAGGGGTGTGTGTGTGTGTGTGTGTGTGTGTGTATAACCTTATATTATCAATGTAAGAAGAAAATGAAGAAACTTTAAGAGCAAAATTTTCTAAGGTGATTACTCTTTCAGTTCTAAGTCCTATTTCAGTGCTTCACTTACATATGCTTAAACATTTTTAGTAAAGTTATACTTAACTGTTCTGCTTTCCAGCAATTTTAGAGCTGTAAGTGACAACTAGAGAAAAAAAATCAGGCATCAGGATGGAGGTATGTTAGATAATTCTGTGTCAAGGGCTGTTTATTGTTTTTTCTACTAATTTTCTTCTTTATCTCTGAGACTAGGGATAATTCATGCTTCCAATATTTGGATATCCAATGCTTCATCCAGACCTGTTCTCCCCATTCCATGCTTTAAAGTTGCTTATTTTTTAACTCTGCTTCCTCATGTCTTCCAAACAAAATCCTCTTCTATTCCCTCACTGACCTTTATCCACTCTGCATGTAAAAGAAAGGCTGCCAACTCCTGTTCAAAACCTTTTTATTTTAACAACCATGTTCTTAATCAAGAGATGCAATATGAGCAACACCATCAGATTATAGTAGCAGACAGACCAAGAGGCTTCTAGATGAGAGAAAACATTAAAATATGAGCCACATTAACAATTTGCCAATTTAAACTTTAAAATTTAGATTTAATGTAAGTTATTTTACCTACTTTTTAATATAGACAAGTTACTGAAAGGTCAGGAACACCTAAAGGAAGGGTTAGTTGTTCTGTCTTGTTATAATCCCAGGATAACACTTTCAAGTCTAGGACACAGAAATTTCTATAGTAAAAAACTTCCCCTTTATACAATCAAGCCATTTATTATCTCAGTTTCTAAAAAGTAGATTAAATGTTAGAAGCACAAATGTTACAAAATCTTTTATTCCTTACAAAATACATGGTGATTGCATGAGTACAGATCACAAATTACAAGAGGGAATACTGGAGACAAACGTGTTAAATGAAAGGTGCTCATTCATCTGGAGTCAGTTTAAAACAAAACAGTTCTCTATGTTAAAGATACCAGGGCAGGTACACGGCTAGGTGAAAACTGACAGTGACTTAGAAACACACCTCCACCAAAAACATAGAAAAGTATTGGAAATGTATTAAGATGTCCTAAATTAAATTATAGCACACTCAGACCTGGCATTCCACAACACAACCATTTGTTTTAGGCAGGGATCTTGGAATACCTTGACTTCCTATCTCGTTAAGAGCAAAGTCCCAGGACTGATTAACTTCCCAACCTTCCACAAGGCTTTATTCAGTTGACTTTGAAACGTGGAGTCAAACACCCCATTCATTTCTGTTGCAAGTTCTCTCAGAACAGCTACTGTAGCCACATCACTGGCATTCAGAATCCGCAAAAAGAATTTATTCCACAATTCATCATCTTTTAGCCTAAAAATATATAAAACCATTTCCGTCAAGATTAGGTATATGGAAGTTAGTATCTCTTTATGTTTAAAACACTCAGTGGTACATTTCTACACCAAGATGATGTATGTTAATACCTAAAACTCTAGGCTTAGGTTTATTTAAGTAGTCCTTTGAAAGCCCAGGGAGGGACTACAAAAGCTCATCCTAATGGAAAAGGTAAGAAAGGGAATACAAGGGAAACCATGTCTCTCATCTGATCTATAAATTTCCTCTGTGAAGTCAGATATGGCACATTTCTTCTATAAATAGAAGAAAAATTAATTCTGCCTCCTTTCCTCTTTCCTAGAGCCTAGGCCATTACGACTATAAGTCTTTCTTGCCCCAGTGGTTTTTTATCTTCACCATCCTCTGAGAATTCTAAGTCTGACTGAAATAACTACTGCTTAAGTCTATGATGGCTGAAGCTTTATTTATGTAACTAGAAACTTCAAATCTTATATTATGTAGGGCCTGGAAGGAAAACTCAGTTGACGCTACCTGCTTCTACTTATGTTAATCTGGGCCTGCCCTGGACTATAGCCAACTGGAGATACTGGACTTGATCATGTCTTATATTGTATTTCAAATCTATTTTAAAAGTACATGAAACAGACCAGCCAAATTATTGGGAGGTAGAAAACAGAAAGGGTATTAAATTTTCAATATCGACTTTAACATTTTTTTGGTTGTTGTTTTATTTTTTTTTTCTTTCTTGTGTGTACCGCTGAGTTAGATCCGACAGTCACAGGAGGAGATTGCACCTCCTTCTCCAGTGGAGCATTTGGTGGATTCAAACCGCACTTTGGGATTGCAACGCAGCTTCCTGACACTAGACCACCAGAACTCCCTGACTTTAACATTTAAAGACAAAAGACAATGTCAGTAAGATACACTAATAAGCTTATGTTATTAGGATAAGCTAATGTGGAACATGGCTGTTTAGTTTTAGGAGCAAGCCTGAGGGAGTGCTACAGTTCTTAAACTATTTAGAAATTATTCTTAATATTTAGAAAATTCTTAATAGAATAATTTCTATTAAGAAATTATTTTACTTCTTCACAAGGAGATTCAGTTCTGATTTTGATGAACATATTCACTAAATAAAATCAGCCTGAAATTAGTACACAACGAAATATTTTAATTCCCTCTAAGAAATGATTAAATTTTTATAACAATAGCAAATAAAGAGGTTTAATCTAATAACCTAAATTGGTTAGAAAACAATTCTATTGGTTAGAAAAGTGTTTCTATTAAAACTTCCAAGCTTAGGGGAGCTCTGGTGGCCTAGTGGCAAGAAGCTGCACTGCAATCCCACAGGTAAGCGGTTTGATTCCACCAGATGCTCTGCTGAAGGAGGGCAATCTCCTCCTGTACCTGTCAGATCCAGTTAGATGGTACACACACACAAATTTTAAAAAAAACAAAAACAAACACACAAAAACCCCAAAACTACCAAGCTTAGAAGCTTTTCCATAATATACTATATAGTTTCTGTGATACAACTTTTGTCCAGAATGGTGTCCTGAAGTTCGAATAGTTTGAGTCTTATTTTCAACAAGCAATTATTTCACTCCGAATTAGGTGTTCTACTAATACACTAACAAAACTGCTTCTAATTACTGCAAGTATGGCACTGAATTAAAAAATCAAGTTTGCCTAAGTGGCAAAAACATTCAAGAGAAAGTATTATTTGAATAGGTAAAGACCCTCAAGTCACTGATACTTACTCAGAAATATTTTGGCTAAGTTTCCAGTGGGACCCATCCCAGAAGACCTGTAGGTGTTCCTTGAACAACAGTAAATGTGCTAAATCTGCTATACCCAACAGGTCTAC